TTGGTTTCATGCTGTCACTTGCACCTGGCCTACCCCGAAGCCAGACTTGACCGAGCATCCAGCTGACGGGCCTGGCCGCATACACTTACCTTTTTCTAATTTATTTCTCTTATGAGAATAAATTCTATTTTGTGAATCTTTGGCACAACTCTCTTCATCAAATATATAAAGAATTAGGGGTTTTCCTATTTGGTTGAGCTCTGTTTTTTAGTATGTTTGTTTTGTCAGTATTTTTTAGAAATTTTTTGCAATAGGGTGAATATACTCGCCAGAGAGACAGAAAGTGAGAAATCACCCCCCCACCCCAGGGGGGATGGCCATGCTGCAATCCCTTCTCCTCCGTTCTCTCAGGATCTTGGGCATGCACATACATGTGCCCGATGTGAATTTTAGGCCACCGGGTCAGGGTCTCGAACTGCAGTTGACTGTGTAGGAGTCCAGCAACGTAATCACTATGTCATCTGCTGGTCTCCACGCTCTGTTTCGTTTGTTTGCTTAGTTTTAGCTTTTGTTTGTTTGTAAGATTTTTGCTATAGGGTGAAGAAATTACCCTAAGGGGAGATGGCCATGCCACAATCCCCTCTCTTTCATTCTTCTCTCAGGATCTTGGGCATGCATACAAATACACCTGGTATGAGTTTCAAGCCACCAGGCCTGGGACTTGAACTGCAGTCAACCACATGGGAGTCCAGCACCTTAACCACTATACCACCTGCTGGCCCCTTGATTCTGTTTTTAATATTAATGAAAATAATCATTTTATCATATATTAGAACTCTTTATTTTTGTTACAGGTGCCATATATCTGATAAGGTATTATAAATTTTTGGATCATTGGTTTGGACTCTTTTTTAAGAATTATTTAATTAATTTTACTTATTATTATTATTATTACTTAATTTGTTAGAGGGCATGTCCACTTACCAGAGAGAGACCAAGAGAAAGAGAGGATAAGCGACCACCAGGTCTGAGATGAGAACCGTGGTTAGCCAGGTGGAAGTCCAGCACCTTAACTACCATGCCACCTGCTGGCCCAGTTTGGACTCTTTTTACATTAAAAAAAGAAATCAAATGTTTATTTTAGATACTACAAATCTGTACTTTCTGCTAAAGACAAAGGGTCATGCTTTTGCTTAAACACATTTTCGTGGGGTCATGGAGATGTTTAGAATGCCTTTGAGGTTCAAATATGGTCTCATTTGGCAATGTTTCACTTGGATTCACTGTAGCCCAGAGAGGCAGGACTGCTTAACTGAGATCAGACACCAAGTGTTAGAACAGACGAAGGGTCGATCTTTGAGAGGGAGGGTACTGAGTTCCTACACAGTCTTCCCGGAGCGAAGTCCCTACTGCTCAGTGTGACTCTGTAACGGAATGGCCTGTGCTCAATGCTCTACAGTTCTGTTACTCTGATTTCTGCCATTTTCCCACTCTTTCACGAAACTATTTAAATGTGGTTTTGGGGGTTTTAAGGTTTCTTAGATTTTTAAAGGTGCATGCGCTCACCAGAGAAAGACAGAAAGAGGCAAAGACAATCTCTTTCCCAAGGAGGATGACCTTCCCACAATCTCTTCTCCTCTATTCTCCATATCTCCAGCCTGATTTTTCAAGTCTGGGACTCCAAAAGCGGTCGGCCATGCAGATTCCCATGCCTTAACTCCCACACCTGCTGGCCATTGAATGTGGCCATTTTTAACCTGCATTTTGACTGAAAACAAGCCAGATAAATGTCCGTTATTTCATTTCTTTGAGAACTGCCTCCTCTTCATTTGACAAAACATTAAGTTTACACTGCAGACAACAGGCCAAAAATCAGTTCCTCTTAGACTGACAGTCTCTCTGTGCTGGTTGGCATCCTGAACAAGCAGACCCCAGCAGCACATGCCCATACTCCTAGCTAGTCAGGAAAGTGAGGCTGAGGACCAAGGTATGACAAGATACGATCAAAAACGTCTTTGTTGGGGCCGGGCCCTTAGCGCAGTGGCTAAGCTCTGTGCACTAAGAGCAAGATCCCATATGGCCAACTGGGGTTTGAATTCCGACTCTTGAAACTTGAAAAGCATACCAAGTATGTGGGTATGGATACCCAAAATCCTTACAGGAGGGAGAAATGGAGGAAAAAATGAGTATAGAGTAACTATGCCCTGTTGGGGATTGGTTTCTCTCCTTCTCTGCCTGTCTCTCCTTTTCTCTTTCATGACTACATGTGTCCTGACAATAAAAATGTGTTAATAAAAAATAATAATAATAACAATATTTATTTTGTATTTTTGCACTATACTACATTTTTTAAAAATTTTAAAGGTTATTTTGTTTTATTTTATTCATTATTATCATTTCGTTTTAATTTGACCAGAGAGGGACAGAGAGAGAGAAACTGAAAGCGAGAAAGCCAGCTGTCAGGTCAGGGATTCAAACCATACACAATCAGCCACGTGGGAGTCTAGTGCCTTAACCACTATCCCACCTGCCAGCCCCATGATACCACATTTTTAAAAGACACTCTGCTAGGACGTGGCATGGTGGTTAAGGGCGTTGTACTCCCATATGGCCAACTGCAGTTCGAGTCCTGGACCTGGAGACTTGCTTTCTTACTTTCCCGCTCTCTTGCTTTCTCACTTTGTCTGATTCTCTCTCTCTTACTCTTTCCCTCTCTGGTCAAATGAAAATAAATAAATAAATACATAAATACATAAGTTAAGTAAAATAATTCTTTAAAATAAAAGCCACTCATTAAACAACTTTTCCTACAAAATAAGTCAAATTTATCTTCTTGGTACATTATCTTATTATATCTGATTAATTTAATAATAATTATTTCTTCTATCCCTGTACAGAAAACAGTATTTTGAGTATATATTTTCTGGTGGGAGACAAATAAAAAAAAAAAAAAAGAAACAGAGATTTATTATTTCTTCCTTTGTCAAAATTTTTCTTTACATAGTCTATGTTTCCTGCCAACCTTTTTTTTTTTTACCTTGTTTAAAGAGACTGGAATGATGCATTATTGTTTTTTCCAAATTGTTTCTTTCTACAATTGCATTTTTAAAGGTTTTCCTTGATAGAGACCCTCATTATGAATCTAAAAGTAAAGAGAAGATGTGGAAAGGAAGTTTTCCAATTGTAACAATTGATCAGGAAAAGAACAATATATGTTCATAATTGTCAATCTTTGAGAAAACCTCTGTTGGGTCAACCTATCCATTTTCTAAATTTTTATATTCTGTTTTACTATCCTATACTATAAATATTGAGAACCTGCTATGAGAAAAATACTGCAATAGATTCTGGGAAATCAGGGTCCTTGATTAAACCAGGTCCTTGCTCACAAAAACCTCATATTCTGGGAGATACATTCTATCCATGTAGGTGTGAAGGAAGAACGGTCTGCTCTCCATAGTACAGTAAACTGGTACTGTGAGAATGCCATCTGCCTGACTTGAAGAGGTAATATAATAGCACACCAAGTTTTCCAGTTTAACTGGCATGTTCACAATTATATCTGAGTTCTAAGCATGGCTCATACAATATTCGTGATACAGACCTTCCTTAACTTGTTAGTACAGATCGCTATCTGAAATATTATACATCAGGCATCAAGAACTACTTTGCAGCAAAAAATTAATATTCTTCCACCTTTTATGGCCCCTCACTGCCTAAACAGCCAGCCTAGCCTGGCTCAGTTTCCCACATCTCGTGTCCTGTTGCGCCCACACCATCCACACAGTTGAACACATCACTCTCTGTGGCACCTGCCTGTGTTCCTGACTGACTCCAACTAGACTCAAAACTCTTGAGAAGCAGGTACATGCTCTTTGCTGTGACAGACATGACACTTAATAGTGCTCAATACGTATTTGTTGAATAAATGAGTGAATTGCTTATACTTCCAATTTATAAGATAAACAGAACAAAACAGAGCATTGGTTTGTTTTTTTTGGTTTGTTTGTTTTGCTTTTTTTGGGGGGGCGGGAGGTAGAGGCTTTTGCTACAGGGTACGCGCACTTGCCAGAAATACAGAGAAAGATGAAGAGACAGAAAGCAAGAAATCACCCCCCAGGGGGGATGGCCACGCAGCAATCCCTTTCTCCTCTATTCTCCTCTCAGGATCCTGGGCACACATGCACACACACCCAGCATGAGTTTAAGCCACCGGGTCTGGGACTCAAACGGTGGTTGACTACATGGGAGTCCAGCGACATTGCCGTTATGCCAACTGCCAGTCCTGAGAAACAGAACATTTCTAATTTGTCCATTCCAAGATCTTTTAAGTCAACAGCAGTAAACTAAATAATCTCAAAAGACAGCACAATCTATAACTAATTATACTGATTAAAATCTCTTAAAGCATAATTATATGAAGATTTACTTTCCTTTAATTTAATAACGATAATTAAAAAAAACAGCTAACAATTTCTAATTAGCTGGGGTTTTTTTCTCTAAATCCATATTAGGATTTAAGTACCACTGTGATACATTTATATAAACGAATTCATATCAATTCATATCATTGCATAACACATATATAGCTCAGAGAAAATCCTTCGTGATGCTAGTGTGATGGCAGTAGTGCTGGATAACTGGCTTATGATGATGGGATAATGAATGTGTAACAGTGAGGTTATGTGTAAATTATATGGAAAGCATATATTCAAGTAGATTTAGACACTTAGGAGTTTTTTTTTCAAAATCAGAAAAATCATACCCAGATGTCTTCTTTACAATAATATTATTATTTTCATTAATATTATATTAAGCATAATAACAAGCCATTGTATTGGAGAAGAGAATGTGAAATATAATTATATAATTTTACAGTGCTTTGTAACGCATGGAATAATTCTCCTAAATGACCAAACAGTAAGTGAAAGATTGACATCCGAATGCTTCTTGACAAAAAGAGCAGTTACATAGAGAAGGAGGAAAAAGAGTTCTTAGCTTCTCTAACTGTTGAAACAGCTTTACAAATATTTATAAAAGGTCACCAATAGAGGGCTTACCTGGGGTCAAATGAAAGAGGCCCTAAACCATCAAAAGCTATTTCCAGTGTCCAGCTGGGAGATCTAAAACAGAGAGTAACAAAGACAGTTTGTGACAAAGCTGACACGCTGTATTCTGGAAGGAGTGAAATCAATTGTGACATTTTTCATTTATTTGTAAATGCCTCTTTGGCAGTACACTCACTCAAAACGACAGTTGCTTCTTACAGAATCGGGGAGGTGATGGTAAAATAGAGAAATCCTGACAGCTCTTTAATGAGATTCTGCATTAGGGCTTTTCTAACACTTTCACCCAAGAAGGAGCTTGCCCTTCATTTTCAATATCATAACTCAGTAATTTGGAAAATGTTATCTCTATGAGAAACTAAACCAGTCAGCCCTTAATAGCAATTGCTCAGTTTATTTTCTCCTTATCTTTCAATTAGAAGAAAACATTCTAAAGCAAGTATCTAAATAAATGCCAGTCATACAGACCAATTATCTCTTCTATTAAAGAATGCTGTTTTTATTAAAAAGAGCAATATGGAGTGTGACAGAACAACTCCAGACATACTTGCTGGTAAGTCAACATTTGCTTGGAAATTTCTGTGAATACAATGTAAGTTGCATTTTAAAACACTTTAATTTTTATATGTTATGTTCCTAAGAACAAAGAACTTATTGGCAAGGTGAAATTTCATTAGTCTTTTTAGTGTGCGTAACTCCAAATTAAAACAATCTAAGGAGTCCACTTCATGCAGTTGTGCTACTATTCTCTGATCATACGCTAACTGCCTGGTGAGGTCTCAAAGCAACCAGGAGGAAATCCACGTCTAAAAAAAATTAAAGTTTCTTCACAATCTAAATGATGTATAGCGATTTAATGTATGAATAATCAAAAATTTAAAAAAAGAAACCTTAAAAAATTAATTATAATGTGCAGAGAAAATGTAATACAACCCAGAATCAAGGCCAGCATTGACCATCTATAAGACAACCAGTAGATATTTGCTGAGCTGAAAAACTCAATAAATTACACAGGGAGACTTTAAAAAGTTTGTGGAAAATGCATTTTATGAAAAATCTAGGCATGGATTTCAAAATTTTTAGTACACTTTCTCTCTCTCATGAAAGAAACATTTTTAAAAATGCAATGTCTATGTTCAACTCCAGACCAGTTAAACCAGTTAAAACGTTCCCCAGTGGATTCTAATGAGCAGCTAGGGTTGAAAACACTGGCCTAGAGTTTAATACTTTCTTTCTCCAATAAACCCTTTTGGCTTCACAAACAAAACATTTGTCTCTTCTTTGCTAGAGCCCTGATTCAACTTCATTGCCTTGTTTTCCCAAGCTATTCTGGAGAAGATGACTGTGTGTCTGAAGTCAAGATAATCCTCATTAGGTTCAACCAATCATGGTGTGATCTCATTATCTGCCAGAAATTGATACTGATTCAGGGATATATGTTACACATTTTATATATATTACACATTATACACACACACATACTACACATACATACATATATAGGCATATACATACATACACACACACATTATCCACCTCTAGACAATTAGGTGGCAGAAAATTTGTTCCAGGGACTTCTAGTAGTTTTTCACCCTCCTAACACAATTCATTCTCTCCTGCTATTGCAGGTAAATGTGATGTCTGCAACCACCCTAGCCACCGTATGAACCTGGAGGAAGTCAGTCTGTGGAAAAAGCCAATGTAATGAGGATGGAGAAGGAGAGAAGGAAACAGTGCGGGGAAAATTCATTCAGATACTGAAATAATCTGCCCACTTGGGAAATTGCTATATAAAATAAATTTAAACTCTCATAGCATCCTGAACATTAAACCGAAAAAGCATTCTACCTCCAGTCTAAGGTCAGGTCAAAAATGTCTTTTGTTGTTGTTTTGGTTTTATGAATTAAACCAATTGGTAAAAAAAAAAATGTCTTACTTTTTCTTACAAATTATGTAATGTCTTAGTTTTACTTAAATAACTTTAGAACATTTTTTACTAAAAAAATTTTGTGTAACATAGACATAAGAAATAGTAGATTCTGGGGCCGGCAAGTGGCATGGTGATTAAAGGCGCTGGACTCCCACATGGCCAACCACGGTTCAAGTCTCGGATATTGGTGGCTTTCTTTCTCACTTCCTCTCTCTCTCTCTCTCTCTCTCTCTCTCTGTCTCTCTCTGATCAAACTGAAAAATAATAATGATATAATAATAAATAAAGCTAAATAAAATAATTATTTTTAAAAAAAGAAATAGTAGATTCTACCCTATGAGTACTTTTTTCTGAAGTATTAATTTATTCTCATTTATACATATATACATAATGTAGATTATTAAAATATTTTTCTACAGCACGTGTGTGTGCATATATATGTACATGTGTTTGCTTTTTCAAAGACTGCTGCCAAGCACATGATGTTGTAAAGTGGAGAAAAATAAGTTGTTTAATATGCAACTACAAAAATGAAGCCTCCTAATAATTTTATCTTTAATTGATTGTTTTTTTACTCTATTTTATACATTCAATCATTGTACATCCCTACAGCTTGTAAAATGAATTACCCAACATGAATACACTTCACACCAGTCTAGGTGAAGATATTATGCACGTTATCATCAACAAACAATCCTCCATTTCTGTGTCTCCCAAATGTCCTTCCCCTCTATTTTTCTCCTTGATTCCTTTCCTCTCACTCTCCCCCATCTCCCATCCTCTTCCTACACTGTCTCCAGTACCTGTAACTATTCTCTATACTTCTATATCCTACAGTCTTTCAGTTTCTGCCAGTATATATTAAATGGAGACATACAATGTCTCTCTTTCATAGCCTGGTTCACTTCACTCAGCAGTAAATCTTCCATATTCATCCACTTTCTACCAAATGCCACGGTCTTATTTTTTATGGCCGAGTAATATTCCATAGAGTATACGTGCCATACTTTTTCAATCCATTTATCTGTTCATGGACATACGGGTTGGTTCCATGTCCTAGAAATTATGAATAATGCTACAATAAACATTGATGTCCACTTTTCCAACTGAACATTTTCCTATCCTTTAGATAAATACTTAGGGGTAGAATTGCTATTGATTCTATATATAGCTTGTATTTCTTGCAAGTACCATGTGTTATTCTCAAATGTCCAGACTACAATTGTGATACTGAATATTCTCTTTTTCATTAAGCAAAATTGTCTGGACCAAGGGATACTGAAGATATTTTGAAAGGATGTTTTATAGTCAGCCACAGGGTTGGAGGGTTGGAATGAAATGTACTGGAATTTGTTCCAAGATTTACTATGGGGTTTTAAAGTGATACACACTGAAACCACCATTTCTCAATTAGACAGTTTAAGTATAGTTACTTTCAAACTCTTTCATTTCTTTATGTTGCTTCTTTTCTCAATCCCCTCAAGTGATTTCTGTATTACTTATTTTTAAAATACTTACTGGCATTTTTGTGGTAAGGGGATGATTAGACTACCCTTAGAGGTGAGATTCATTTGGAAGAGAAAAGAGCAACATGAATTAGAAGTTACCACTTTTATGGGTCCACAGAGATGACAGGACAGGAGGAAACAGAAGATGGGGCTGGCGAAAGGCCTCCATAGTGTAATCACTTCCCTTATAACCCATCATATCTTTAGTTAATTTATAAAGGTATGATTGTTATGACATATAAATGTGAAAAATTCATTGCAAAAGCCAATAGTTAATATATTAGGTTATCAGTAAAGTCATAATATATTTTTTCTGCTTTCTTATGCCAAAATGTGTCATGACTTTCCCAACAACCTAGAAGTTTGGTACAAGACCAAGTGGAAAAGTTAAAACTAAAACAGTATTGCGAAGAAGGAAAAGGAAAGGCAGAAATTCATAGAGAACAATTTCTTCCCCACAATAGTTCAGGTTATGAGTTTTCTCAGTGTAATCTGGGAGGCCTCAGTGTACACTATTATCTCCCTCACTAAACTATGAGCACTTGAGAATGGTTTTGTGTCTTTTATACTTTGAACCACAACAGAATCCAGCACATGATTGAATTTGATTCTAGTGAGAAAGCTCCTCCATAAGTGCTCTTTGCCCCTCTTACTTCAAAATCCAGGGTAGCTCTAATCCCTCTTTCTTTTTCTAAGACTGCCCTCCCAACAGTGATAAGAATGTAGCAGAGCTAGAAATCTTATGGGCTGAGTCTGGTTTGAGATCATCACTGAATTTCTGTATCACTTACTGTTTTTTAGGAGACCTAGGGATAGCAT